GATGAGGTTTTCTGCTCCCATAAAGATTTACAGCATCAGAAGGCCTATATAGGATTACTATTAGTCGCAACAGATGCCTTAGTACAGAGCAGAGGCCGCAGCAAGAACACTCCAACCATAATGCTTTGCCCTTCCATTGGTGCTGTTAGCTGACTTTGATTTGACCCCACGGTTCATGGTGACCCCATATACAATAAAAGCTGCCTGGTCCCAGGTAATGCTGATGATTGTTTGCAATTTGGACCTTTGTGATTCATAGGATTTTCATCAGCTGATTTTTAGAAATAGATCACCAAGCATTTTCTCCCAGTCTGTCTTACTCAGAAGCATCACTGAAATAAGTCAACATCATAGCAATATACAAATTTCCAATGACAGATGGGTGGGTATTGGCTGTGCGTGAGGTACATTTGTCCGGTTATTACAGGTCTTTTGAAAACATGAAAACAGAATTCAACCAAGGACTGGCCACAGACTGGTGCACTTCCATTGTTGTTGTTAAGTGCCATGATGTCGGTTCTGACTCATAACGACCCTGTTTGGGTTTACCAAGGAACGTCTTGTGAGTTTGAACCACTGGTCTTGCGGTTATCATTCCAGTGCTTATCCTACAGTACCACACCAGGAATACATTAGGATATACATAATGTCTGCTGTGTCCTTTGTGGTAATTAATGTTGGTAGTCACAGGAGATCATGATCTTTATCCATTAATCCATTAGGGGTTGCAGAATTATTATTCTCTAATGGTATGATTCCTTTTAGCTTATTAGCTGAAATAATTCAATAATTAGAACCTTGTTCACCATTTGTTATCCTCATGCCAGTGTTGGATTATCCAGTAAGCAAGGTAAGCATGGGGATACTTGTACTTGCTTAATCATTTGTAGGAAACAATTTCAATTTTTTTTATCACATCAAAGACCGTTTCTAGATATGGCTGGCATCTGTCTTTCTCCCAGCACCACGGCATCTTCCTACAGAACTGAAATCTCTTTTCAAATTTACACTCCCTGACAGGGACTGAGTGTCCAGTAAGCAAGGTAAGCTAGAGCTTAATTATGTTTACTGAGTAATCTGTTTTATGAAAATCTATTCAAGACAGATTGGTAAGGAAGCACAAGTTAGCCCCGCTTACCTTGTTTATAAGGTAATCTGCCCTGCCTGAAATAGTTGCAAAGTTTTTATAGTTTTTTGTTGTTGTTGTTGTTTTTTAATATTTACAGTTTTTATAGTTACATTTAAGGAGCTCGGGTAGCATAGTGGTTACGAATCGGGCTGCGAATCTTAAGGTCAGCGGTTCGAAACTACCAGCCACTCCGTGGGAGAAAGATGAGGCTTTCTATTCCCTTAAAGATTTACATCCTTGGCAACCCTGTACAGGGTAGCTATGGGTCGGAACCTACTTGATGGCACTTAACAACAACAACAATAGTTACATTTAAGGAGGTCTGATATCATAGTGGGTTATGAGTTGGGTTGCTAACTGCAAAGTCAGTAGCTCAAATCTACCAGCCTCTCCACATGAAATAGATAAAGTGTTTTGCTCCCGTAAAACTTAACAATCTTGGGGTCACTATGAGTAGGAACCCACTCCACGGCATATAGCCACCACCAGCACCATAGTTAATATTTATAGTTTTCTAATCTTCTTGCCATGGGCTTCCAAAAGAACAAACAGATCTGTGTTCGAAGAATTGCAGTCAGAGTGCTCCTTGGAGGCCAAGATGGCCAGACTTCGTCTCTCATACTTCGGACATATTGTCAGGAGGGACCAGTCGCTGGACAAGGATTCATGTTTTGGTAGGGTGGAGAGTCAGAGAAAAAGAGGAAGACCCCCAGCGAGACAGATTGGCAAAGTGGCAGCATCAATGGCTCAAGCGTGGCAACAATTGTGATATTGGCCCAGGATCGGGCAGTGTTTCTTTCTGTTGTGCATAGGGGTGCTACGAGTCGGTACCAACTCAATAGCACCTAACAACAACAACATATGTGAAATTTTAAGTGCCTCGGTTCTAACTCATAGCAACCCCGTACAGGCTTTCCGAGGGGCAGCTGGTGGGTATGAGCTGTCTACCTTGTGGTTCAAACTGACCTGACAGTTGAGTGCTTATCCTGCAGCAGCACAGCAGGGCCCCTGTGAATCAATAGATAGAATAGACTATGGTTCCAGGACAATATCTGTAAGTGCTGTCAGGGCGATTCCGATCGACAGTGACCCTGCACAGGGTTTCCAAGGAACAGCTGGTGTTTGTGAACTGCCGACCCTGTGGTTCACAGTCCAGTGCTGATCCTATAGCCCCACACAAGGAGTCCATAAATATACACATATGGTAATGGTGGTGTGCAGTTGATTCCGAACAGGGGTACTGAGGCATTAAGTCTTTATGGGAGCTGGGAGACTCATTTTACTCCCGGGGATCGACGGGTGGATTCAAACTGCTGACCTTTCAGTTAGCTGTCCAAGGAGTAATCACTGCGCTAATAGGGCACACATAGTCCCTGTCTCTGTCTCTCTCTCTCTGTCTCTCTGTCACCCTTTCCACAGCCCAATGGTTCCCAGGAAGCTATCAGAACTCTCTCTCTCTCTATGAGTTCGGGTACTCTCTCTACTATCTCTCTCTCTCTGAGTCCTGGTGTGGCACTGTGGATTAATGCGCTTGGACTGCAAAGTCTGTTTGAACCCCAAGGTCGGCAATTCAAGCTCACCAACCACCCCTCAGAAACCCTATACAGGGTTGCTATAGGTCAGAACTGACTCAAAAGTACTTAAAACACAACGTGTATATAGTCCTGGTGTGACACTGTGGGTTACTGCGTTGGACTGAAAGGTCGGTGTGAACCGCAATGTCGGCATTTCAAACTCACCAGCAACTTTCTAGAAACCCTATACAGGGTCGTTGTGAGTCGGAACCAATTCGACACACTTAACAACAACAACAATATGGCGCTGTAGGGTAAGCACTCAACCCCAAGTTTGGTTTGAGCCACAAATTCCATGGTTCCTTTCGACAGCACTTAACAACAATAACAACATATATATAGTGTACATGCATACATATTGTATGTGTGTTACTATGTCAATAGGAAAACAAAAATGGCACGCCTTTTGTTCCCTCCAACCTGCCTTGCTTGCATGCCTTTAGGAGGTGAACCACCCGTTTCAACAAGAAAGTGAGCAATCTTCCTGGGACTTCACTTGGGGTGAGAGGAGCTGCTGGCCGTGCCCTGAAATGGGTACTGGCCATGGCAGCAGTGCCCACCCTGCCTGCAGTTCTGGCTCGGGCCCTCTCTTCCCTCTCTCCCAACTCCTCTTCATGCAGGAATGAAAAGCTCCTGAGGACTGTATCATGGATCTTAGCCACAGACTCCAGAAATTCACCATGCTGCTTTCAGCATGGGCTTGTGGACCCCACAGGAATTCATAGAGTTGACAGGTCCTACCGTCACCTGGGGCCAGGCATTGTTCTCACAGGCATAGGACATACTTTTCTGAGCAGCAGGCATGCTGACTCGTGTCAGGGACAGCTGGGAGCAGTGGGAGGAGGCCGGTGATGTTGGCCTCATGGAGGAAGCTACAACTGCGTGTGTACTTCAGCCAGAGAGAACCTATCTTGAATGTAACCGAAGTATGCTTTGCATTTGTCCTTGAGGGCACTGGTCTCCGGACACGAGGTCAGCCCTATCCCCTGAGACCCTGTTGAGGAATAAACTGCAGCTGGTGAGCCCTTTCTGAGGCTTGTTGGGGGGACAACAGGGGCGGGCAGTGGGGTCCTCTGTACTGGAGTCAAGCACGGTCAACACTCGGGGTTCACACAGTGCTAGGGTCAGTGGCTGAACTGCTTTTTCCCTTCCTCCTTGTTGGACTTAGGGACTTTGATGTGTCAAGTTCAGAGTAGTAAAGGGAAAGTACCCAAGCCCTGCCAGCCATTGATCTGATGGCCCTGAAAGAGAACTGAAAGGGTCTCTGTCCTCACTCAAGGTTCTCTGACACCCCATCATTCCTCACTTCTCACCTTTGGCTATGTGGTACCAGACTTTTCACACCTCCAAGGCAGTATTCAGAAGGGACCACAGTTGGCCACAACTGTTTGGGTCTTTTGAGGCCTACAGCAGTGGCACGATTCTATGGATCTCCACTCTGCAAGAGTCACTGATCCCTTCAGTTGTCCCTCTGAACCCTCACCTTGGTCAACCCGAGCCTGGTACTCCTCCCTTTATTGAACAAGGTTGTCAGCTCCGTGAGTCTCCAGAGGGTATCACGTCTGGTTCCCTCTTGACTTTCCAGGCCTCATAGCAGGGACCAGGCTCAGTGGAGCCCCTCTGTTGTGGTGGGGGGGTTCTGCTCATTAGCACTCGGGTCCTTACCTTGTAGCCTGTCAGGAACTCCTCCTTCTGCAGAATGTGGATCACCACCAATACACCAAGTTCTTCCCCACCCACTAGAGGTAATGAAGTCATCTCAGCCAGAAGGCTTTCCTTAAGGCATCCCAGGGCGTATAGTAAGAGGTGACATTGTCGTGTCTCTACTGTCCTTGGGTCAATAGTTCCCTCATTTTTCACTCAGGGTACTCACCTTGACATCTGACAAGTTCTGGAACACTACTCTTGGCTGTCCAGAGAGAGGCCTTACCTTCAGAGCAATGTTTTCAACTTCCTGAGATCTCAGAGGTGGTCCCTGAGTCTTCAGAGAAGGAAGCCACGGGCTGT